TCATACCCCTACATTTTCATTCTTCTCAAGTTTTTAAGGGGGGAATACAAGTTAAAACACCAAGAACATAACTAAAATTTTCTAACAGCCTTCATCAGAAAAGTTCAACTCCATTCATGGACTGTTTTGGGCATCTTAAACATTTTTGTTTTCAAAACTGTACAAGCTGCAAATAGTTCAGGTTCTTAGCTTTAAAATGACTACTTGCACATCTCCATATGATTTTTCTACAATTTATGGTGATTTTTACAAAACTGCCTATCATTTCAAACAACAATCCGGACCAGTCTGTGATTATGGACTTATTCACCCAAGTTGGAGGTCATTAAAAATCGTGATAAAAATTATGAGTAAAATAGACACATTTTGTGAACTCTCATAATTTATGGATCTAGTTTTCAACTTCGTATGTTTTTTCTATGATTTTTCCAAAACAGTGTAGAATGGCTAAAGTTAGCCAACAGCATGTAAATATCATAACACTTTGTATTATGTTGAGCAAAGTGTATAATCATAAGTTCTAATTATTGAATGTGTTTCTTTGTTAGTTTATCATCATGAACTGAAACTAAGTCATTCATAATAAATATTATTCATTCATTTTAGAACACGTATATTAAACTATAAAAAGTATAGTTTAATAAATTCATAACACTAATACATTTCCATAAAAGAGTTCTTACATATTACAAACGTTTTAGATAAACTATAATAGATATAGTTTATGATATATTGCATAACACACTCGTACTAAAAGAGTACATTCATACAAAAAAGGTTTACACTCACACACATTATACGTAAACTTGTTACCCTAAATTGTGAGACATTCTCTCTTTCCGTACGTCCGAGTGCGAAATATAATTCCTGGTAGTTATAATCAGAGTCTCCTGGAGGGAGAACGTGATACTTGTATATAGATCTATATTGGGTTTGACACCCCACACATTGTTGCTAGCTACAGTGGGACCTGCAGGTCTACGGGTGACAAATGTCATTTCATTTTCGCGACGCCTGAGAAACGTCGTGGCAGGTTCACATAGTCAAAGTATGATTATAGCGACTCACATAGGGAGATAACAATTCATAAAGTTTATGGGATTTCATAAAACCTAAGTAGGTTTTAGGTTGATTTAAAGTCACTTTTTATATCAATTCAAACTCATGACATTTCTACTAAGTAAGAATGATTTCTTATACTTTTTGGTCTTTGGTCATAAGGCTACATTATACGGATTTTAAGGAAATATCGGATTTTTCTGAAATAAACACGACATTTACATGAGAAAGACTTCTATTAAGTTTTATAGCAAAAACTTATGAACTCACCAACCTTTGTGTTGACACTTTTCAAACAACTTGTATTCTCAGGAAATCACTAAACAGGTAATCAAGTGCTTTTGAGGATGGGACGTTAAGGCGTCAAACTTTTCGTATTTTGTCAACATATTGTAATTGATTTTGAAACATGTAATTCATACAAGTGATGTAAAATTTTCAATTATATATATGTCGGTTGTGTTTGCTTAAATTACTATTGAAATTGTGGGTATGATACTATACATGAAGTCCTCCACCCCCGGACGTTTCCGCCATCCTTGGTTTGGGGGTGTGACAAAATGACCAATATAGTTGGGGTCCAGCTTGCTCTACTTCCTAAACTGAATGACTTCTTTCCAATGTGGCACCTTCAGGAGAACCATATCTCCCACGTGGAGCTCTAAAACTGACTGACGTCTGTTAGCATAACTCTTCTGTCGACTCTGAGCTGTTTGGAGCCTACTTCGAACTTGTTGAATCAGCTTAGTGGTCTTAAGTACCACTTTGGTACTCCCCATAACCCGCTGATCAATCTCGCCCCAACAAGTCGGGGTCCTACACTTCCTCACGTAGAGCATCTCGAAAGGAGGTTGATCGATGCTGGCATGATAACTGTTGTTATACATAAATTCCGCTATCGGAATATACGTATCCCGAATCCCACCGAAATCCAGAACACACGCCCACAAAATATCCTCTAGGGTCTGAATGGTCCACTCACCTGACGATTGGTCTGCGTATGGAATGTTGTGCTAAAATGAGATGAGTGTCCAACTCGTCATGGAGACTCTTCCAAAACCTGGAAGTAAACCGGACATCTCTGTCAGAAACCATCGAAACCGAAACCCCCATGAAGTGCCACAACCTCCCAGATATAAACATCAGCCAACTTCTCTACAAAAATACTTTCTTGAATCGGAATGAAGTGTGTGCTCTTGGGCAATCGATCCACGATGACCCATATCGAATTCACCCAACGCATAGTCCGAGTAACTTTGTGATAAAATCTATAGTAATTCTTCCCATTTCCATACGGAAATATCCACTGGCTGCATCTTGCCGTGAGGTTGTTGATGTCGGCCTTGACTTTCCTGCAAGTCAAGCACCGCTTCATATACCAAGCTACATCTCACTTCATGCAGGACCACCAATAATCAGGACGAATATCCTTATACATCTTCGTCACCCTATGATGAATGGAGAACCTAGAGTTGTGTGCCTCCTCCATCAAATTCTGACACACACCGCCCCAATATGGAACCCAAACCCGCCGATGCAGAGTCAACAATTCGCAGCTATATTTTGTAATATATTGTATTTATTTGTTTTATAAAATGTTATTTTTTGTAACACATATACACTTAGGAACGAGTAATATAGGATTACATGTATAGACAATTGTTTAGTCTTTGATAAAAAAAAGAGGAGCATTTGCACCCCACTCTCCCAAGAACTGTCCAAAGTCCTATCTATATTGTGCATGGCTTGATGTATATGCATTTAAGGTAAAAATATTGGATTATTATGCAAAATTGGTATTACATAATTATTTTTGCTACTTGTTTGACATCTTAATTTAATAGATTTGGATATTGGTGACATTTTCATATTATAGCACATTCGGTACCCCTATATCGGGTGTGATTCCTCGAACAATTGCACAACTGAGGATTAGATGTTTAAGGGCGACCAAATGCGTGCGTGAACTTGATGTTACTATGTTAGCTATATTTTTATATAACATGCTATAAATGAGTATGATATCAACAATATTTATTTATTATTTTGTGTATAATCCTCTGGTCAAGACCTTACAACCGACTTATCGAGAGCGTCATGCTTTTGGAGGGGATTTGGGGGGGGGGGGAGGGGGGGGGGATTAAAGTTGGTCATGGACAGACACAATTGATTCAACTTTTTGATGTATTGTTTTTGTTTCTATAAATTAAGAAGTTACGTATCAGTACAAACATAACTAATGAATTTTTTAAATCGATATCACTTGTTGCATATTTATCTTTTTTTTTTTATATATTTGTGTTCATCTTAAAACGTATAAAGTAATTGCATGAGAGAGTGTTTTGATATATGAATGTTTTGATGTATGAAAACACAATTGGATTGATATCATAATGAATGACCAACCATTCCAAGGTATTCAAAAATACATTGTAAATATAACATAAATATATAAAATAATCTTCAAACATTTATATTTATTAAATCATGTTGCTACTCTTTGGCGATAATTTACGACTACATGGATGCGTAACACAAAAATATTTTTGAGGAAAATGGTATATTGCGAATCATTAATCATCATCCAGTCTATTATGTGTGCAACGTAAATTTATTATATTATATTTTACTAAATAAATCGAACTATATAAAATTTGTTCGATATATTTTATGTTAGATCAAACATTCTCGCAAATTGGCGCTCGTAGATAACGTTTATTGTGATCATTTGTTTAAATTCCGATAAATCTCAAAGTAAAATATTTTATTACTGAATAATTTTTTGTTATATTCGTTTTTAACCACACATACCTTTCCTCGTATTTTTCGAATATTTTAATAGGCTAAAATTATATGCGTGCTGCCCAAGTTCAACAGGGGTTTATTCGGAATATTTTAAACCGCCGTGGCGATGAAGCCGGATGTGACCTACATACACCGTTAGATCAATGCTGATCCAGCGGTCCACAGAAAAACCCTACACATATAAAGTTCCCAATACTCCCTTTCTTCTCAACTCGCGAAGTTTTTCTGCTCTTAGGTGGTTCTCTATTTCTTCATCAGAGAATAATAAAGGTTCGATTTCTTCGATTCTTTATCTCTGCTTCATTGTTTACTTATTCATTTGCTTCTTTTAGCCTGCTGATTCATTTGAAGTAATTGTTTGATCTGTTTATCGATTGTTTTGTCCTAGAATTATGGAATTATAGGTATCGATGTTTAGTTATTTATTTTTGTTGATTATCTGCTTTATCGACTAGTTTATCTTATCGTTGCTGTATTTTTCATAATGCTTAGCCGTGTAATCGTAAATTTCAGTCTATGATCTTAGTTATTTTGTTTCAATGATAGCTAGTGTTTCGAGATGCTTGATCCATGATCATATGATATCTTCAGAGCCTTTGAGTTTCAAACGCATTTCAATTTGGATGATGTTGATCATGTTTTCGATCACATTTATTCTTTAAGTCTTCATGTTGGTTTACGGATTATTACATAGTACTTACTATGTAACGTATAATCTTCTCTTTTGATTCTAAATTATATACTACCATTTTTTCATTCATATTTGAAGTTCTTATATCTGTTCGCTGTTTCTATTCACCATTATAGTTAGAATGACTTGAATCCTTGTTTGAAAAAGTGTAGAAAGCTTTTGCCGATGCTTGATTTCCTTTGAAATATATAAAAATATGCTTTAATTTTTTTTTTCTGCAACATGCAATGCCTGCGTTTATCAAATCGTCTTTTATTAAAATTACTGTTTTCTCAAATCTAGCAACAAACTCAGTTTCACCATGGGTAAAGAGAAGGTTCACATCAACATCGTTGTCATCGGCCATGTCGACTCCGGCAAATCAACCACCACCGGCCACTTAATCTACAAGCTAGGAGGCATCGACAAGCGTGTGATCGAAAGATTCGAGAAAGAAGCTGCTGAGATGAACAAACGTTCCTTCAAATACGCATGGGTCCTCGACAAACTCAAAGCTGAACGCGAACGTGGCATCACGATCGACATCGCTTTATGGAAATTCGAAACCAACAAGTACTACTGCACAGTCATCGACGCCCCTGGCCACCGTGACTTCATCAAGAACATGATCACCGGAACCTCTCAAGCCGATTGCGCCGTCCTCATCATCGACTCCACCACCGGTGGTTTTGAAGCTGGAATTTCCAAAGATGGTCAGACCCGCGAACACGCTCTTTTAGCTTTCACACTCGGTGTCAGGCAAATGATCTGCTGTTGCAACAAGATGGATGCCACTACTCCGAAATACTCCAAAGCTAGATACGACGAAATCGTTAAAGAAGTTTCTTCCTACCTGAAGAAAGTCGGTTACAACCCGGAGAAAATCCCATTCGTTCCAATCTCCGGTTTCGAAGGCGACAACATGATCGAAAGGTCAACAAATCTTGACTGGTACAAGGGCCCCACTCTCCTCGAAGCACTCGACCAACTCAACGAGCCAAAACGCCCATCCGACAAACCCCTCCGTCTCCCCTTACAAGACGTTTACAAAATCGGCGGAATCGGAACTGTTCCAGTGGGTCGGGTCGAAACCGGTGTTATCAAACCGGGTATGGTAGTCACCTTCGGTCCTACCGGACTTACGACTGAAGTCAAATCTGTTGAGATGCACCACGAAGCGCTTGTGGAAGCTTTACCCGGTGATAATGTCGGGTTTAATGTGAAAAACGTGGCTGTGAAGGATTTGAAACGTGGGTATGTTGCTTCGAATTCGAAAGATGACCCGGCTAAGGGTGCGGCTAATTTTACTGCTCAGGTTATTATTATGAACCACCCGGGTCAGATTGGAAACGGGTATGCACCGGTTCTTGATTGTCATACTTCTCATATTGCTGTGAAGTTTGCTGAGCTGTTGACTAAGATTGACCGGAGGTCTGGTAAGGAGCTTGAGAAGGAACCTAAGTTTTTGAAGAATGGTGATGCGGGAATGGTGAAGATGATTCCGACTAAGCCGATGGTGGTGGAGACTTTCTCGGAGTACCCTCCGTTGGGGCGGTTTGCGGTTAGGGATATGAGGCAGACGGTGGCTGTTGGTGTTATTAAGAGTGTGGACAAGAAGGATCCGACCGGGGCTAAGATTACTAAGGCGGCGGCTAAGAAGAAATGAATCCCCGGTTCGATTATGGATTTGGATTTGAAAGTGGGTTTTGGTTTTTTGTTTTTGAGTTTTTTTATGATTTTGGATTGTGTGTTTCCCTTTTGTTGTTGGTGTCATCTTTTACCGCTGTTTCTTGGAACGGTGGTTCTGTTACGTTTCCGGGTTGATACTTGGGTGCTTGACAGACGGTGGCACAAGTTATGGTGGTTGGTTTGGTTGTGATGGAGTGTTCTATTTTCATATTTTGATTTTGATGAACAATACATTTGTGGGTTTTTAGTGACAATAATAAATGGTTGTGGTTTAATAGATTGGTTCCATCTTTAATGTATTTTTCTTTTTTACCTCATTATTTTTGCTAAATGATATTGTGGTTCTTTAACTTGCAAAAAATCAATATACCATGTCAAAAATATTATTGTTTACTTGAAGAAAATTTTATTTTATGCCATCTTCAGCGTAGTTCTTTTTTTAAAAGGATTATTTGAAAAAAAAAAACATTTGCAATTAGAAATATTTGTCAAATTAATAAAATAATCTGAATGTTGAATGTTAAAAAACGTAAGTTTTTAGAGTAAATTACATGAATGGTCCCTATAGGATGTAATTTGTATATTTGGTGCCTAACTTATTTTTTTTAACCCGGAAGGTCCCTATCATTTATTTTTGTTACGCGTCTGGTCCCTATTTTACCTAAAAATACTATTTTACGCTTGATTTTTTAATTTATTTAAATAAATAAGATAGATAAGATAAAATAAGGTGAGGTGGAAGTGGAGTTTGAGGTGTGTTTATTTAAATAAATTAAAAAATCAAGAGTAAAATAATCTTTTTAGGTAAGACAGAGACTAAACATGCAACAAAAACAAACAGTAAGAACCTTCCGAGTTAAAAAAATATGTTTGGAACCAAACATTCAAATTACCTCAAACCATAGGGACCGTTCGTGTAATTTACTCTAGTTTTTGTTTAGTTATTAAGTGATATATATGATTAATGTTAATATTAATATTTTTAAAGTTTTCTTTTTATAACTATATATATGATTAAACATTTTTTTTTTAAACTTTTATTGTTGTATATGTATTTTAATAAAGGAAAAGAAAAATAGATAGCATATTTTATAAAATTTTATCTAGATAACGATAATTAATAAATGTTTTTTTTTTATTATTATTATTATTTTTTTTTTTTTTTTTTAAGTTCAAGACTTCAAGTTATAATCGGAAGTTGGGCTTTGGTCCGGCAGGTTTGGACAAGTGGAATGTCGTCTTTAACTATTTGTTGGGCTATTTTCTGTGAACGCATTGTCCGTTAATTAATATTTGTAGGGAGTATGTTATATTGCTTTAAAATTATGGGAATAGAAAATATTTTTCCCCGGTAGTTCAAAAGAAATCACATCAATACATTTTTGTTTCATTTTGAGGAAAAATTACAACTATATGTTTTATCTTATTATTTTTTTTTTCAAAACATGTTCGCGTATTTTTCTCATTATCTTTTTTTAGTGTGGATTTTAACAGAATAATATCTTTAAATTATTAATTTTCTTATGTCATGACAAGTTAAATATAATAAATATGTTGGATTATATTATTTTTGTATCATAAAATTTAATTATTATAAACATAATATTTCTAGATCATAAATCATTTTTTTTTTTTTCATTTAGGGTCATATGTAATTTGGATCATAACATTCTTTTAAAAACTTGTTTATACTTGTTTTGGATAATTAGACTTTAGGATCATAATATTTTTGATCATACCATTTACGAATTTGAATCATGATATTTTGGATTAAAACTTATAGATCGTAAACATTTTGAATCGGAACAATTTATATTTAAAAATATTATAATTTAATAAGATACAATAAGGTTTTGAATCATGACTATAAGTCTATGATCCATAAAAAAAATTAGTTTTTGATGAATTACATATTCAAAACACACCTTAGAGTTTAATCCACATTTCATAATGCATCAAAAATTACTGCATGAGTTTAAAAAAATACCAACTCAAATGAATTTTGAAAATCTAACTTTAGATTTTTTTTTTTTTTTGGATCTTCAGTACCTTCTTCACAATCTTGTGTTCTTCCACAAAAAAAATCTCTAATGATCCTATAAACATTCTAATAATGTAAACCTAACTAAAATTAAGAATTACAAAAAACTAATTCCATCAAAGCTATAAGAAAATTAATAAAATGTATACCTTTCTTATAGAGCCCCCATAGAAAGCATAGTGCTGTAAGCACACTTTAAAGTTCTTAACACTTTTGTTTATGAATAATGTTGACATTTTGTATTCACCAGGCCTCGGTGTTGAGTCTAAACTATGCATTTTACAGATATAAAAACATGATCCAATAATATAATCCATAAAACTTATGTTGGGTTGACATCGAATAATAATATCATAAACCTAGGAAACCTAGGCTATTTTCGAAAAATACCAAATAAGGTTAAGAATTACGTACCTTGATTGTTATTATAGAAAATAACAAAGAAACATTCTTGTTGATCCTTTGGAAGGAAGCATCATAATTGTCGTACCTCTAATGGCTATAATGGAATCACACCCAACACAAACAATAGGATGAGAGGAGAAGTGATAAGATTTTCGTCAAAACTTCTCAAAGGAAGGAGTGTCGAATTTGTGAGGGGATATGACCCTTTATATAGTTGAGGTAGCTTGATACCAAACCTTGGGTAGAAGGAGGAAATCCTAAATCCCTTTGCTTGGTGACCGAGTAGCACATTCCCTTTCATTCAAGGGGCTTAAATGAAAACTCATTAGGCTTGCCCAAGTGATTTTCGTCCACCTCAGCTAATGAAGTCCTTGGGCTTTTTTCCTCATCTTTCAATAAATAACCAAACAAACTCTGCACTTTTAATTATTCCAATTAATCCCAAAATTAATTCCATTTGCTTTCTGATTAATTATTAATTAATGTAACGCCTGTGTTTCCAGGCTTGCAATTTTTAGCAATGTAACAGTCTAGGCTAACCTTTGTAACCCGTTTTGAAATAATAAGATTGTATTATTTGAGTATTATGTGTTTTGTGCTTAATTGCTTAATTATGTGGTTTGATTAATTAAGAATAAAATTAAGCATCAAAATTTAAGTGTAAAATAAACTTGATATCTTTAGATAATGTTGTAGTAGTTGAAACAAGGTTTCCGGAGATATAAAGAATGCCGAAATCTGAGTTATAACGAGGAAGTTATGACCTGTCGAAGTTTCACGACAGAACCGGCAACGCTGATTAACGTAAAAAGTGAGATTTACGTTAGAGCGATATTTAGCCTTAGTGATCTAAATGAGAATCGAAGATCTCGTTGTTAGTATCAAAGCGATAAAAAGTTAGGCGTGAACGGACGTCAAACGAAGAAGTTATGAATTTATAACGAAATTTTCTGTCCCGGCCTATTAAAAATAAATAAAAAAAAAATCAAAATTAGCCGACGGAGTCTAAACGAAAGTTGTAGAGCGTAGTCTCACCTTTCCGTGGATATAAAGAACGTCGAAAACGAAGTTCGTATGAAGAAGATATGAATTTCCGAAGTTTATTAATTAATTTGTATTTATTTTTAAATAAAAAATCTTGCATTATCCGAAGGGGGAGTCACAGATCTGATCCGAGGTACGCCCCGTACTCGAGTACGCCCCGCGTACAACCAAAGTGTCGATACTTCGGATGACGCATTTCGGAAGCAGTACGCGCTGCGTACTGCTGTACGCCCCGCGTACGAGGGGGTTCCAGCCGCCTATAAATAGGATGCGAGGGTTCCGGGTTCCATTGCTTATTTCCTCTCGTTTTTGTGCCGAAGCTCTGCGTTTTTACCCCCAAATCCATCCCGAAGCCCCGGTAATATTCCCGAGTCTCGAAGCGAGTCCTGAGATCCCGAAGATCCCGAGAAGTGCGGTTTCCGAGCCGAAGCTCTGCCCGCGAGAAGTTCGATTTTCGTAGAGATCTTCCAGATCTGCTGAGGATTACGATTTCTGCAAGCCGTAGTGCTGTCCGATCATCTTCTGATCAAGTGAGTGTATACTACCTTTCATAAACGCAATAATAATACAACTATGGTTTGAGTGTATTAAGTTTATCATCGTTTATACGTGCGAAGGCGTTGTTACTTTCTCCTAACGTATAACTATAAAGTATTTTATACGAGATACATGTTATGTGTATATTTTGTTGTTATGTGTGTGAATGTATATTCACTTTCTTCTATCTTGCAGATATGATTATTTCTATATGAAATACGTGTTATGTGTGTGTGCCTCATTTGTTATATGGAAAATGTATTGATCAAGCATGCTATACAGGTTTTGAAAATATGTATAAAAATGTATGTTTTTATCTACTAATATGTTGGGTAGAACATGGGTAGATAGTTGGTGTGTAATAAACATATGAGAGGCCTCGTTGTTGTTTTGATCCAGTCATCTAGCGGAATTTAGATGACGACCACGGACTTTTCTAGATAGTCCAGTGGAACGCTAGCAAGCTCATAACCTGTAGGTGTTAATGAACTTGGGTGTTCATTCGCTGTATTCCATCCCCCTCATGGTTGCCTTATTTGACTTATATTGTTGAGGAAACCCCGCAACATGTGTTGTCACCCCGATGAAAATATTCTTAGATTAGGTCCCTTGTGATGGTTATTTTAGGGACGTAAAGTGAGAATAATGGGAATGGGTAACTGGGTTTTATTGTTGGTTGATAATAATTAATTTAATTATTTATTGTGGGTTGAAAACCCTATATGCTCACCAGGCTCCCAAGCCTGACCCACTCAGTTTTATTTGTATTACAGAAAGTGGCGCAAGGGCGTAAGATGGATGAACCATCAAGTTGTTTTGTTTACAAGTCTGTATATGTAAATATTTGTTATATGACTTGTAATGTATTCGTTTATGCTTATTGGTCTGTATCGGAACATGACACCCCGAGTTTTGATTATAATGAAAATACATTTCTTTTATGAAATGCT